ATAAATAACAGATAGCAAGAAAGCAAAAAGATTAAGAGATCTAATAAAATTGAAGGGAAGAGGAAACGTAGTGTTTGAGACAAACACACTCTTCAATATTCATTGAAGTCTTCAACTCTAAGTCAGTGGCTTAATTATAAGCCCTAATACAACTCATGTGAGCAAATTAGAAAAAAAAAAAAAACTCAAAATTTAACTCTTAAATGAGTAATAATGATACATTAGTGTCCAATCCATATTCTTAAAATAAAACACTGCTTAAACTCCAAAATTTAGATTCTAGATTCTCTATTCTCCTTATTTGATACCTTAGGACATGTTTGTTTTGGGTGAATGGACTAGGGAATGGGAATCTCATTCCCAATCCTTTGTGTGGTTCATAGAAGTGATATAAGGGTAGAGTAACATTCCTTCCAAAATTGGGAGGAACGACATCCATTACTAGTAATGGAATGTTAAAATGTCCAATTTACCTTTTTTAAATGCCAATTTCTCATTATCCTGGAAGAAATGAATTGAAAACTAATTATTAATTTAATAATTTTTTTTTTAAATAATTATGATTTTAAAACTTCAAAAACTATTCATCACACTGTTAGTGTCATTGTCGGTGCGTGACGGATCAGAGGCCAACAATCTAATGATTTGGACGAATCCCGACCACCTAAGGCCGGGGTAGCAACGTCATGCGTGGCGGCCCTTGATCATGGCAACCGCACATGACGTTATGTTGCCGGTCAATCTACTTAGATCGACAGTGCAACTACCTTTCGATTGTTCACATCCCGACGATGACGATGACGCTGACAGCGTGACAAAAAGTCGCCGGCCGGCGATTTCGATTGACATTGACTGGTTTGAATTTTTTTTTTTCATTTTTAAAAATTTTAAAATACAGTATTTTGAAATTTGAAATTTTACATTTAAATGACAAATAAAAATAATCTTTATTAAATAAAAATGAATTAAGGGCATTTTCATTCCAAAGCAACAGACTGTTTTCTATTCCATGATCATTCTTTATTACAAACAAACAAAGTTATCTCATTCTACTCATTCATAATACTTTCATTTCATTGATTTCCATTCATAATATTTCATTCCGTCCATTTCTATCCACAAACCAAACATAACCTTATATCTTATTGTCTTCGAATTGGTGCATCCTGTGTGAAAAAGACTTTTAGAGTGTTGACCACTTATTTTTGCATTGCCCCTTTGCCACATTTTTGTGAACAATTTGCATAAGGAGTTTAATCTATTTTGTGCAACACCTTCTTCTTGTTCTTTAACCTTGTCAGAGAGACATGTTGCTTTGGGAGGCAGAAGAAAGGCTGTTGTGTTACGAAATGGTGCAGTTATAATTTTTTCTGGGTTTTATAGCTAGGAAGAAACAGGGGAATATTCAAAGATATTGCTATCACTAAACCACAGCCCGCTCTGCTGTCTTCTGTTTTATTTTTTGCTTTTATGATATGTGGTTATGGTGGCATCATTGCGTCATACTTTTTTATGTTCTTTGTCTAGTGCAATCGATGATAATAATCCTAAATTTAGCTAGACAACTGAAAATGATATTGGAAGTCTTTGTTTGCTTGAAATCCATGGTTAAGTTTCAGAAAGCAGAATATATTTTTTCGAGATAAGCAGTCATTTTTTGGTATTGTATATTGGTGTACACGTTGTAAGTGGCATGTGATAGTGTTAAAAGATATCAAACAAACAAATATAGACCCCAAGATCTGCGCAATCAAGGAAAACTATACCTAGACTTGATAGGTAGTAAACATACTATTTAGTATTTGCTTATTAAAGGATACTATTATAATGATATACTATTTTATCATATTTTCTTTTATCTTGTTTTATATCAAGGATTTTCTTCTTTTGACTGAATTATAATGGTCTTAATTAGGTTGAAAGTAGCTCTGGGGCTGTTAATGATATGGCAAACACAATGATGCAGAAGTTTTGGGATTCAGCACTTGCTTTAGAGCCGCCGGATGATTATGATACCCACAGGTATTACTGTTGCCGCTTTGGTTACACTCTTATCTGGTGGGTTTGTCAATTCCAGAAAATCAGGCCTAATCTTGTTCAAAGTACTTTTCAGTGAATTGTCTGCAGCTATGACATCAGATGGGACAGAACAGGGAAGGCTCACATACCCATCTCTTGGTCTTGGAAACTCATTAGCCTTCAAATTTGTGGATCTTAAGGGTCGCGTACATCGATTTAATTGTGGTGGGTTGTGAGAAACTGGGCCATGAATTTCTTATGTACTTATATATTTTCCTTTGCAAATTATATCTATAAGCTACCATATGTGTTAATTTCTTGCAGAACGTAAATGCCACCAATAAATGTGCTAGAAACCAAAAATATTGAGTATCATGCTTACCTATAATAATCGTTGTTTCATTTCATTATGACAATTTTTCTATGAAATATTGAGACGTTGAATATCTCTGATTATTTGACAATTTATTGCACATTTTGCACTCTGCATGTGTGCTAATCTTGTCTGTTTACAAAACAGTCCATGTTAGTTTGCTGCATTGCATTGTAAATTGCGAAGTCTGCCCAAGCAGTCTTATGCCACTAAACCATAATGTGTTTTAGGTGCTAGAGGTTATTTTCTACATATATAATATTTTAAATTGAAAATAGTACTTTCTGAAGTGTGATTGATATTTTTCAATTATTTTTCTAACTGATATCAATATGAAGTTAACTTTGTGTAGCAAAGGAATATATATATTTTGGAACCTTTGAATATCTGTTGATATTTGTATTTAAGAACCTTGATTTCACATTTAAATGTCAAAAAATTATCTTTCTTTTTCGTTAATTTGAAGTTTCTGTTTCCTGTCTCAGGTACTGAGAATGTTGATGAACTGGTAACTGCTGTCATGCAAAGGATAGGTGCTGGCAATGACCAAGATCGTCCTCAGCTTCTAGTGGGTATTTAACATTATATGAGTGAGTTATACATTCTGTATCTGTTGAAGAGTTGGTGATTGATGTTTTTCATCTATTATATCTTTCAGTATGAAGATGATGAGGGTGATAAAGTTCTACTCGCAACTGATGCTGATCTTATTGGTGCAATTGGTCATGCTAGAACTGCAGGACAGAAGGTGATAAATAGAACTCATATGGATACATGAATTTATATTATTATCTTTTTATGTTTGTTTTCTTTTAATACTTAAAACAATAAGCAGTTTTCACAGGCTTTATGCCAAAAAAAAGGCTGTTTTAATGAAAAAGGGAGTTGTTGCTTAGCTGTGCTTGATTAGTTCAATTTCAAGCTCCAGCTCATTCTGCTACTCAATCTTGGGATCAAGCCTCAGCTCAAGCTCAAGATGATTAAAATTTAAACTAAAAAGGGAAAGAAAAGTGTTTGCATTATGACTAAGATTTGACATAGCATTGATCCTTTCAAAACCATGTTGGAAGGTGTCCCACCATTAGGAAAGTTCCCTCGAGGAATTCCTCAACACGGGATAAATTAGCATATATTGGGGATCCTATTTTCAACACAAATTTAGGGCAAACTGGGAACCATTAGATTAATGCATTTCAAAGTGTTGAGGTGAAATTTGAATTGTCATTTTCAAGCTGCTTGTACATTTTAAATGTAAGATCATCGTAGTCTTGCCATCTATGGTAAGTGATTGTTTCATTTAGGAATTGGGAGAGAAATATAGAGTTCTCAGAAAACCTTTGGATGGTTTACTTTGTGTACCTTCAATCCTATTATTATTTTGTCTTACTTTGAGGCTAAACTAAAGCTTTAAATAGAGAGGTAAACTTCTATTTGGGATGGTTCTAAACTAATGTTCTCTTTGTAAAGTTGAATTAGGTGAAGTACTTTGAAAAAAGATTCTTATTATCTTCATATATAAGTATTTCTTGTCTTTTGGGATTTCACCTATTCAAGAATTTGTATGTGGGAAATGACATATAAAGTTGAGACTCGGGCAATTTATCGGTTATGGAAGATGTAAAGTTGATGGTGTGTCCTGCAGGTTTTGAGGGTGCATCTCGACTTTTCTGATTCCTGTAAGCAAGCAAGATCAGATTCAAGTCCAACCACAATGCAGCAATCAGGGTGGTCGTTGTCCCAGTCTGGTATCTTGGCAGGCACAGTTGTTGTTGCAAGCATTGGTGTAATGATCTACTTGAAGCGTGCTCAGTTGTGAGGTCATACTCATGCTTTCTCTAATGATCTTGAAATCTCTTTATAAAGGACTCACCAATGTTGAAATCCTCAAGTGATCTATTGTAGTAAATGGTAAATGAAGTGCATAAAGAATGACTGAAAGAGCACCATAAATTTTAGGATATTTTTGTTCTCGAGTCAGTCTCAAATTGATAGCTTTTTCTTGGCTAGATATTCTAGTCCCGTTTATACATTTGTATCACGTTAAAGATTTTTTAATGTATAAAGCAATTTTACTGTATTAAATAAACTTTCCTTTTAATTTTTTATTCATAACGTATTTGTATTATACTAGAAATAACAGTTTTACTTTTACTCCGACATATTGTATATTAGGCTCAATAACAATAAGGTTAAGGTAGTGTTACTTCTTTCTCAAAATTAATTATTATTTTAATAATCTCTTAAACTTATTCAAATTAAAATTAAGTTTAACCCCTCAATGTTAGAGAAATTACTTGCAAGTTTCTGTTTCAACACAAATGGTTGCCCGGCAAAAAATAAAGTTTATTTAATTTAATAAATTTTCTAAAAAATTAAATACATTGACACGCTTGAGTTGAGGTTTCAAGTTTTTCTAGGCGGATTAACAGGGGACCTTACATCGTTAATTTCTGTTAGGATACGTTTGAGTTATCTCTTCTTAGCTTTTAAAAATTCAAATTAAAAAGGTCATAAACTTAAAAATATTTCAATCCACCACCGTAAGATTTTTGTTATTGTCTTTATTAGACCTCAAAAGGCAAACATTTAACAGAGAGAGAGAAAAGAATAGTGCAATTGATGGCATAAATTTATGTTGGTCCGCCAGTAGGTGTCTGATTTTGGGACTGTTGAATTGATTTCCCGACTCTGCCACGTCAAGGCAGTTTTCTTTCGTTCGTCACGCCCCTTCTAACCTTCACTGCTCTTGCGCTTCAACCTTTTATTCCGGAAAACCAAAGTAAACAAAAAACAATCATTAAATTGGTTGCAGGAATGGACCTTGCCGATGTACAAGCTGATCTCCAAGCCTTGAGGAAATTATATTCTCTCCTTCAAAGATCAACTAATGAAATTGTAAGTTTTTCGTTTTTATCACCGGTTGTAGGTATGATAGGGTGCTTCCTTCCCTTTGAGTGTGTTATTTTGTTTGGCTGGCAAGTAAACAAAATATATTGAACTTTGAAGAATCTGGAGCCAAATCTTTTTTTATTTTTTATTTTTTTTTTAATTTTTTAATTTATCTATTCACGTTGTCGACTTGTTCTTCAGAACATATCGAGAATTAAGATCCGGTTTCTTGTGCGGCCTATTCGGTTTATATAACCATTTCAAAGTTCTAGATAAATGATACTGTGATTGCTTACTTCAATTCTATAATGATGTTATTTTAATTTCATCATATGGTTGTCTCTTTTTATTAGAGTCCTGCTTTCCCTTCCAATTATTTTACTATACGCTTCTTTCTGTAAATTGGAAACAGTTGGATGAGAGAGCCAAACTTTTCTTGAAGAATCTGCTCGATGGTGCTACAGAGAAGGCTTTGGAGAGAAGTTCAAAGGTGATATATGTAATTAAATTCTATGAATCATACTGACTTTGCAAAATTTTATCAATGTATTATGTTTAAATATACAAATTTATTTACAGATCATAGCAGCAGCAGAATCGGATTTCTCTAAAGCCCAAAAATTCAGCATCGTCCCAAATTGCTCTACTTTTACTTCAAGGAAAGATGAGCTATCACCCAATAAGCGAACTCCAGAAACGGTCGTTTCAGGGTCATCTAGATTCGACAAAATTTCAAACAGAAAGAAACGTTGCGGGTTTTGTGAAGGACTTAGTATGAAGCAGCAATGGAAACCAGGCATAGTTGCTGCACACGGGGTTAAAAGAAATTATCGATATGTGAAAAAGCAGGGTAAAGAATCCGTGAAAAATAATCTAACTCCAAGTGGTAAAATAATCAAAGAAACTCAAATGAATCCAAGTGATGCTAAACCTATTTTGGAATTGGAGAAGAAATCAGGGAATGCTTCAATGGATGTATCAAATACAGTCAGATGGATTGAGTCTGCCATTTCGTTCTCGAAATCATTTTCTCATCTTAATGTTGAGTGTGTCAAGAATGGTCAGTCCAAGAAGTCTAATTCGAGCGCTAATCATATTATTGCTAATTCCCAGCAGGTGAGTCAGAGGACTTGGAACAATGTGAACTCTACTCCGCAGGTGAGTCAGAGGACTTCGAACAATGTGAATTCTACTCGGCAACCGGATCAGATTGTTAGGAAGAATGTTGAAAGAAAAGAGTTACTGCGTCCATCAGCTAGCCGAAATGATCATCTGGCTGAAGAACCTTTGAAATTGCAGAAGCGAAAAGAGGATAAAACAAGTTCGGTAAAATCTATTTCATCTATAATGTGGCCAACTTTGTTAGGGGCAGACCGTGATTTGAATATAGACCAAATGAGAAGGCACATGGACGAGGGTTCATCGGCTGATGGTTCAGAATCAGTGGACACTGCTACTTCATCTAGTGTTTCAACCCAGAAAACTTGCTTAAGTACTAATAACGATAGTGACAATAAGGCTAAGTCATTGCTCCACCGTCGCTTTGCTGACATGGGAAACAAAAGTAGCTCTAGCTCAGAGGAAAGTAGTTCTGCTTCTCCAACTAGAAAGTACAGATTTGACCATCATGCAAATCCTGAAGCTGGAATCGGACGGTTGAGGAGGTTAAAAAACAAGTTTAGATTCATCTTCCATCATCACCATCACCACCATCATCATCATCATCATAAATATAAAGATTATGACAGTGATGATAATGGTCATTGTAAGGTTCACAACATAAATCCTAAGATGAAGCATTTACCCAATGTGTTTCATGATGAAAACAAAAAAGAGGTTTATGGAAAGCAGGGATTTGAGAAGTTGAGAAAGTCAAAGGCGATTATGATGCCAAATAAGGGTAAAGGTAATTATTTTCATACAATAATGAAAGGGTTGAGAAGGCACGTAAGGGATTCGAAGAAATCAAAGGCAGGGAGAGGAAGAAATAGTGTGAACAAGTTACATTGGTGGCAGAAGTTTAAGCGCAATGGCGGAGTAAGAGTAAAACTGGGGAAAAAGGGACGTATGAGGTTAGGGGTTAAGAGTAAAAAATTAAGATGAGTTTTCAGAATTAGCTTTGAGTGTGTGGAGTGTAGGTGGGTTCATTTACGTTTTTATTTATTTGTTTTCAAAATTTGGTTGGCAGATGAAATAACGACCTTGATTTTATGATTTTATGATAAATGATAAAATTTTATATTCAATGTGTGAAAAATATAAAAGATAACAAATTTATTTTTGAATTAGTATCAAATTATGCTAAAGATCAAATAATAAGAATTTATAATTTAATTTATAGGCTAAAATAACCGATATAAACAAATAAATTAGAGCCGGTATTTTTTGTACAAGAATCTCTGTTTTAAAACCTGAACCAGACCGGTCGGTCTGATCGGTTCGACTGATCCAAGTTAGCATGAAAACTGAAAAAAGCATAAAACTCACTTTAGACCGGTAATAGACCGATGGAACAGTATAAAACTGTCGGTCTGACTGGTATGGATCTTAAAATAGTTTACTATTTTGGGATAATATGATCCCTAATTTCTAAATCAGCTTTGCAGCACATTTCATTCTCTATTTCATTGAGTCAGCAAGCATTATCTATTTTATTTTAATATCATTTTCATCTCCAAAGACTAAATTGCATCTTTTATTCTTCTTTACTTACTTTAAAATCTATCGTATAAAGAAGAAGAAACAAGGGGAGGGGAAGGAAGAAGAGTAGAGGAAGGAAGAAGATTAGGAGAAAGAGAAGAGGAGACAAAGAGAGAGAGAAAGGAAGAAGAAAGAGAAGAGAAAACAAATTACCAAAGAAAGACGGGAAAGGGATAGAAGAAAGAAGAAGGAAGAAAGTGAGGGGAGAGAAAAAAAAGGAGAAAGGTGAAAGTGATGGGGTGAGAGAAAAAAAAAAAGAGAAAAATGAAAGTGATGGAGAGAGAGAGAAAGAAATAATTAATAATAAAAATTACAGATTATTTCATACATACATGGACCCACGCGTCAATTTTGGGGGTGTATTTATAAGTTTTTAAGCTTATAAGAACTAAAAAAATTATTTAAAAACTTATTCAAAGATGTGTTTTCAAAGATGTGTTTGTTGTATACCGGTCAACGCGGGAACCGACCTTTTGACTGGGTTAAGAAGCGGTTTGATTTTTAAAACAATGATGAGAATTCGATTATGGCTTAATTGAACAGTAGTCTTTTTTAAGAATCCCTTTATCATATGGATTGGGATCCTGTTGAGTTGATCCCTTCATATGCTGACACGTGACCACTAATAAATGAATAGCCAAAATCAAGGTTCTAAAATCCGGACCAGACCAGTCGGTCGGATCGAGTTTTGGAGAGATGACCTGTTCACAGAGTAATAAAACCTGCTTTTAGCAGTCAAACCGTTTCAGATTGCTATTGGACTAGCAGTATTGTGTCAGACTGTTGGTCCAACCAGACCAGACATAAAACCGGCCTAATTAATATACCCTAAATTGAACCCATTTCTCCCTCATTTCATTTCGATTTCATCTGATATTTTGCTGCCGTTGTTGCGTTCTTCTTCAGTTCATCTTCGTTCTTTGATTCAAACCTTCCGTTATTATTCTAAGTTTTTCTTTAGTTCTTCGTCTAATTTCATCTTTGGTTCTTCTTTATTCATCTTCCTAACACCGACTTCATCCTTCATTCATCTTTAATCGACAATTTTCTCTTCAGTTCGTCTTCAGTTGCTGAATGATCTAGTTATTTTCGGCCTTTCGATCTTCAAACTTCAAATCTTAGTTAACAATCTAAATATTATTTAGATTTAAACTTCAAAACTTTTTTTTTTTTTGTTATTGTTTGTGTTTGATTGGAGTTGTTAAGTTGTTGTGTTCTGGATGCAGCAAGGTGGTGTTGTGGATTTGTTTGTGAAGCTGAAGAGTTCAAAGAATCAAAGGATTTACAATGTAAGGTTGATTTTTGGATCAAGAAGTGTAAATGGATTTTGATTAATTGATTAATTTATTTTTATCAATTGGGGAGTTGAATAATCTAAGTAGAATATTATTAACAAATGCAGTGCAGTGTAGAGTTGTTTGGGGTGCAAAGTTGACAGACTTTTGAAATTGGCAGTGATTTTGAGGCTTTTGTTGGAGTGATTTTGTTGATATTGTTTTTGTCTTACCTTTGTTGTTGTAGGGTATTTATTAATGAATTTTATACAAAGTTACAGTTTTTTCTTTGGCTGGCGTCATAAGATGATGTTATCAATCGGACTGGTTCGACCGCTTGACCTGTGACCACCTAGTCAGGTCACCCAATGGGTCGGGCTTTAGAACCTTGCTAAGGTTAAGTTGGTTTTCCTTTTTATAAAGAGACCAAAAAATCATTTTGTTTTTAATGGGAAAAGAGAATACACTTTCCCACTTCAAGTTTGCATTTTGGCCGAGTGACCCATCTTCTTCATTATTTTAGCAAAAAAAAAAAATATTCCCTTAAAGGTTTAAGAAAGGTTAGTCTATAGTTCTGCTGATTTCAAAATTTGCACCAACACATTGGTTTGTTGACTTCTTCATCTTTGGGGTGTTCCTTGACTAACGGAGGTAGAGGCTAAATACGGCAACAATCAACTTCAATTCAGAGTGCTCAAGTGCAAGTATTCTCTAAGTGAATATTGATGATATCATTTTATGTTGTTTAGCCCCCTTTATATAGTGAAGTAGATTAGGGTTTGAGAGAATTACTTTCTTTGTAGCTGTAGGATTTCTGTTTGAGGAAGGATTTCAAGTATTTTAGGAGGGTATGGGATCTTCCTTCTTATTTGGACCATATTTCATCGCCTATTTTAACTAGACCTGGCAAACAGGCGGGTGTACTCACGGGTTAACAGGTATCTGTACCCAACGAACGGGTACAGGTAACACATATTTTAACTCATGAGAATCTGATCCGTACCCGGCCCGTCCGTGATTTTTGCGGATGGACCGGATACTACCCGCGGGTATCCATGGACCCGCAAATTTGAAATTTAAAAAAAATATATATATATCAACAATTGTTGAATTTCACGCCTCCATTTCTTCTCAGTTCTCAAACCAACCCATTGTTGAATTTGTTCATGGTGTTCTTCATTTTGTTAAGTAATCACCAAAGTAGATATCAACAATTGAAAATATTAAAAAGATAAAAAGAATGAAAGCAAAGCAAAGCAAAGGGAGATCTTCTCATTTTGATATTGATGATAAAAGAACAACTACAACACGGGAACTTAGCTAAAAAGCCCAGTTAAATTTTGACATCCGTGACCTTCTGGTCATCTTTTAACACATTTTTTGGGGGCTCCATGGCAGGTGAAGGCGGTGGCTGCGATGGAGGAAGAGGAGCACGAATCTGAAACGACGGCTGGGCATGATTGGACGGTGGAGATGAAGGCTTATCTCTGTGAAGAAAATTAATGAATAAGATAAAAAAGAGGAAAGAACAGTGGTTATGCACTAATGCTTCATTGCTGATACTCATACGTTAGAGGTGTCCAATACTGCCCCAATAATATCTTCTCTCAACTGAAAAAGACGACAATATTTTAATGAGATAATCATCAACAGTGAATCTTCTATTATTCGGTATTCCAGATCTCTCCACAACCTTCCTCTCGCTACCTTATATCTCCTTTCCAATTCTCTCCCCACAATTCCATTATTCACTTATTCAGATTTCTCTCCACGCTTTCTTCACTTCTCTGATCTTTCGCTTTCTGCCATGGCCTCTGAAGCTGAAACTCCTGAGATTTCTTCTTTGTTTGAGCGACTCTTGAGGCACAGAGATATGTTTTTGTTTCTTCCCTTTATTTTCACGGGTGACCTATAACCGCATGGACGGATACAGATCATGAAAATGTCAACCCGTAAACCCGTGACCCGTTTCACCCGCGATCCTCTGTTACCTGGACCATACCCACCCAACCCACCCGTTTGCTAGTCTAATTTTAACTCATATTCCTTATATTACTTACTTGATGGGCAAGTAGTATTAAAGAGGGAATTTATTATTTTACCCTTGGAGAAATTCGGGCCCCCTCATTTGAAGAGTTAAGCAGCTGTCTTTGTAAACCAATTTTGCTGCTCGAATTCTCTGAGTCGACTCTTGCAGGGTCACAGATGCTACAACATTGCTGCTTTTTATTCCAAAGTTAGGCGTCTACACCACAGTCCTTTAGGCGATTAAATTTTGAATTATGAAATTTGCAGTTAGACTCCGTTATGGCATTTGATGCGAGGCGTTTATTCCCAATAATTGTTGTGAAGCGTGCGGGTTTTGTGGCTACGACACCTGGCATCTACAACATGCACCTTATTCCCTGACCATGAGTTTTATCTAATGGTTTAAATGGGGCATTGGCGTTGCTTTATATGAGCCCACACCTTGGCTTTTTCTAGCCTTTTCACCTTCACCTGTGACAAATTCTTGCTTTGGCGAAGATCCACTATATATATATCGCAGATAAAATCGAATAGGGTTTTAATCGGCAGCTCGAAAATGTTACGGCCTTTTCGATAATATTTGCACCATATGTACAATGAATTTTGCAAATACGATAATGCTTTTACTTTTGTATTGAGCATAAGACACGGCTTGTTTACATAAAATCTAGTTGCGTCACAATTAACAACTTGAAAATGTTACGAAAGTCTTTTACGATAACTTTTTTTTTTGGTAAGTAAATGTGTATTAAAAAGAATGAAGAATGTACAAATAGACCTAAAAAAACAGCCAACCTACCTAAAGACATGTCTTGGGTTAGAATAAAAAATGAAAAGCCAAGAGACATACAAAAATATACTCTTGTTTGTACAAAAGCAAATAAATTGTGCATCCAATTCTACCGTCCATGTTAAGACTTGAAAATGGACATAAGCAATCCCCAACAACTTATTGTAACTTCCCTTTAAGAATGGGCTTTGGGCTTGTTCTCTCCCTTAGACTTTTTCTCTTTGCTTTGGGCTTTTTATATTTTTGTTTGGACTTGGACCTATTACTTTTTGGTACCTATTTGACTGCATCCATAATTTTAGGGTTTTGGTTTAAAATTTTAGAATAGTACAAATTGATTATTTATTAATTCACACATTATCTAATATAATAAATGGATGTACAGTAATATAAAACAGGAATTTAATAGAACTAAAGTAGAGGACTGGCAGGTGGAGGGGAGACGAATTACGGTCCTAACGACCTCCTTCTCCTTGCCAATTTCCTGGAATAATAATAAAATTCCTCTTGAATCAATGAAATCAAATATAATCAATGAGTGATGAGTGGCATTGAATTAAAATAGAAATAGATGTACTCCAGTAATCTCAAAGGGTTTTTACTTGCTGTGGTCTCAAGTGCCTTTATAGGATCCAGTTTTATCATCAAGAAGAAGGGCCTCAGGAAGGCCGGTGTCAACGGTCCCAGTGCTAGTAACTTTCTTTTTCTTTTTCTTTTTGTAATTTTCAATATATGTATTGCTTTTACCATTTCTTGTTAGATTGATTTAATTTATTTTTTTAAATTAAGGTTCTGGAGGATATGGTTATCTGTTAGAGCCGCTATGGTGGATCGGCATGGTTACTAGTAAGTTTTTATTTTTTTAATTACGTTTGATTGCGCCTTTTTATTAATTTTTATTTATTATCATTATTAATTGTTTCTGTAGTGATTGTGGGAGAGATTGCAAATTTTGTAGCATATATTTATGCGCCTGCCGCTCTAGTTACTCCGCTTGGTGCACTGAGTATCATTGTTAGGTAATTTGAGTTTATTAACTTCTGTTCTTATTTTGTAGTGTTGTTTTCTTTACCCTAAGTTGTCGTGTCTAAAAATTATTTGCAAATGGGCAGTGCTGTTTTAGCGCATCTCTTATTGAAGGAGAAGTTACAGAAAATGGGAATGTTGGGGTGTCTTTTATGTGTAGTGGGTTCTGTAGTGATTGTGCTTCATGCTCCGCAAGAGGAATCTATTGATTCAGTTGAGGAAATCTGGGAACTAGCTACACAACCTGGTATGCTGCCCATCTTTCTTATTTCTTGGTTGTCGAATGTTCATCATCTATGATTCTAACTCATCTCCTGACTGGTTTATCTGTTCTTTTTTCCAGCATTTCTTTTGTATGTGGGCTCAGTAGTAGCTGTAGCATTGGTATTGATCTTGTATTGTGCTCCTCGATATGGCCAAACCAACATAATGATCTATATAGGAATTTGCTCTGTAATTGGGTCGTTGACGGTTAGTATTTGTGGCTCCTCACATTTTTGGATCATCCTAATGCGCTTAAAGAACCTTGGTTTAATGAGTTTTTTTTTTCTTTGTGGCGCAGGTTATGAGTGTTAAAGCCATTGGCATTGCAATAAAGTTAACATTAGAGGGAATAAACCAAGCCAAATATTTTCAGACATGGATTTTTGCAATGGTTGCAATTACCTGTATCATCACACAATTAAACTATCTAAACATGGTCAGTATCTTATTTATTGTAAGAGTAATATTTAGGGTCATTGTTATTGCTAGCGGCTAAAGTTCCTATTATTAGAAGAGGTAGCTGTTCTATTGTTGTGCTGACTGATTTGCTCTCTAAACTGATGGATTAGTGCTAGTGCTCAGATGATATCAACTTTGTATGGTGTCTTTTAGGTTGTCAGGTGGGACTCCATTAGGTAGAATGAGGACCTGGTTTCTTTTACATATCTCAAAATTTTCAAATCCTAGTATCTTCCATGATGCTCATGCTCATACTCCCTGGCCTGTGATAACATGATAACATTATTTTAAAGCTTGAATGGTTTGACCCTTGGTTTCCAGCTAAGAAGTCAGAGGTTTAGATCTCTTTAGGACCAAGTAATTGGGGATATCATATCTCAAAAGTTTCCTAGTTTCAAGTGTAGAATAACTATTGTCACTACAAAACCTAGACCATTTTTGGCAATTCTGAAGCAATCTTATTCCTCTTTCTTGGCCTTCACTAGTGTATATTTTTATAACCTTAAGTACTTTTGATTCCCCTAGTAAATATAAATTTAGGAATAATCCAAGGACATTATTTGGAAATATTCTCTGTTTAAAATGTCAATTAATTGGAGAGAGCAACTAGAAAAATGTTGAATCATAAAAGTGGAGTGAGCTAGAAGACATGTTCTGACATGTCTCTTACCTTTCCAAAAAAAAAAAAAATGTTCTGACATGTCTCAACTTTTGGTCTTTCATTTTGTTGTTGTCATAAGTCCTCCTTATGGTATGTGGTTATAAAGAGTAAATATGGTCCTCATGTAAATGATTGGGATTCTAAGATGGTGGCTAATGGATTCCCTTGAAGCCCTTGGAAATCTATATCAAAATACTAATATGCATTTCTTTCTCATATTATTCTAGAAGTAGGGAATTGGGATATAATTTGCCTTTTGGAATATGCTTGGCAGTAGGATAATCCTTTGTGTTGCATGTTCTATTATCTTTAGGGATGTTTGAGATCTCATAATGTCTCTATCAAATCTAGAGTGGTATACTTGGTTGCCCTCTCCACAGTTGAAGTTTAATTTTGACCTTTTGAGGAATTTGAATGAGATAGATATCTAGGATCTTTCTGTTCTACTGGTTTCAGTAAATAATGTTATCTATTAATGAGCTTAAAGAGGATCGGAGAGATTTGAAGTGGATTCAACTTTTTTTTTTTTTTATGTAAATCTTATTTCTCTTGGTTCATTAATGATCCCTCCTACTCTTCTTTGTTGTTGGATGGAATAATTTGAAAGGCCAAAGTCCTTTGTAAGGCTCAAATTTTTGCTTGGGCCCTAGCTCACAATAGAATCAATACAGGTGAAGTTTTTCACTGAAGATTCCTTATTCTGTCTTGACTCCCTCTTGGTGTGTTATTTAAAAGAAGCAAAACAAAGACTGTTTATTCCTTCATTGTCCCTTGCTATTGGTTTTTGGTTTAAACTGATTCAAATAGCTAAAATTTCTTGCATCATTCCAGCCTTTGATAAATTCTCTCTCTCAAAGTTCTTGGACACTTTTGGCAGGATTAATTAAGCTAAAGTTGTGGAAATGTGTTGTTTTGTCATTGTTTTGGGTAATTTGGATTGAGGAATTGAAGGTTTTCTTTATATTAACAGAGAGGAAGACATCCCTTCTTTGTGGGATATAGTTTGACATTTAGTTTCCCTTTGAGTGTCATTGACAATAATTTAGAGATTCTTCTTTCTTTATAATTCATTTAAACTGGGAGAGAGTTTTGGGGCATGATTGCTTTTGATTGTTGAAGCTTTTGGTTTATTTTTTGGTCATCTTTTTATGATTGTCATCTTTGGGCTGTTTGGTATACATTGTGTAAACCTTTTTTCTTGTTTTCTCAAGCTTGTCTTTCTTTAGAGGATTGCTTGTTCACTTTTGTCGATCTTTTCTATAATACATCTTTCATAGTTTCATATCCAATAAAAAAAAATAAAAAAAAAACATGGCAGGATGTTCTTCCCTCAAATTAATATTTATGTTCACTTAAGCTGCTATGATGTGCAGAATCTATTTTTCCAGTGGAGATTTCTTTAATATACTAATCAAAGTGACATGGTTATTTTGCTCTAAAGTTTTGAATGTATTCTTAGGGATTATGTGTCATTGTTTTGGATAATAAGAATGGAGAGAAAAACAAAGGAATTACAGGAAGAAACAATTTATAGGGGGAGAGATCAAATATTTGTATTCAACAATCCATCAAAGTCTTACATACAGCTGTAATCTAGGTCCTTATTTATATGATGGCCAGTCCTAAAAAAAATAGGAAATATAAATATACTTCTAATAGCTTGTTCAGTCTGACCTAAATTAAAAATTCAACTGTAGGGAATCAAATCTAAATATAACAAGTAGTAAATATCTTATTTCCCTAAATTAGTAGATCATAGGTTCTCCATGATTCTCTCCTGTTAAGTAAAACATGACTGCTGAGGCGTTGATCAGTAGAGAGGCACCATATATAAACTGAATGTTATCAATAGACTTGAAAATGCCTAATTTGATCTTACACTGGACATATGAGAGAGATCAACCAAAATGTAAGAATAATAATCCAGTCGCTTAGATAGAGAGGATTAGATCTCAATGTGGCATCAACTTGATCAAGCTATGGTAAATAATCCACAAAACTTCGTAGAAGAAACTACTAGAGGCTCGTAAATGCCTTGGTGAGTATACATTGTTTTATAATTAATTACTAGATTGTAAATTAACCTTGAAGAAAAGTTAGTGAACATACAATTAATAAGAGGCGCAACCAATGAAATGAATATTAATATTTAGTTTACGATCAATTTTAGCATGAGATGATTTACTAATTTTAATATGGTCTTCAGTTTTAGCATCATATTCACCATCATGTTTAACCTTGCTTCAAGCATCATTCTCACTCATAGGACCAGTTTGACTCTTATGATTCGTTTTACGAGTAATTGGTTGACAAGGTGGGTAAACTTTTGGAAAGTTGTCTGGGAAAAGAAGAAATCAAGCCATTCTTGGCTTAGGCTAAGTGGTATTTCAGGTGGTGGTAAAATTCTGACATAAATAGTTTTGAGGGGTGATCAACTGGCTAAAGATGTTTGAATAACTGGGAAAACCTTTGTAAAAGCTCTAAAAAATTAGTTTATAGTTTAGTTAAGTTGTCAATAAGGGAATTGACATGGAAAATTAATATAATATGCTTTAATTTCATCTATAGTAAAGTTAGTATAGATCAGAAAAAATAAGACAAGTATGTATGGTAACAAAATGTGACCCGGATTGGCAAGGTGTGGTCAGTGGTGAGGTACGACATATTGGGTTGTCGCTTGTCTCTATGTTTTTATCAGCGTTTTCAGGTTTTTGTGACATTTTTTTGGGTAGTAAGTGCTTATGAGGGAGGATGACACCAGAATAAATTTATCAGAAAGTAGATTTATTCATTGAGTAAGATAGATGTATATTGACAAGGATATAATCTTGGACCATTTATATTTATCTAGCAAATCAAATTCATCTGATTCTATAGTGTTATTTGAATGCTTAATGCCTTTAATCTGCTTTTATTTTTTTTTATTTTTTAATTTTTTTTTCATTTAATATAGAAATATTGTATTATAAAGAAGCAAGAAAGAATAAAGGTGGACCAACCGTCCACTTTAAAGGGGCTATTTCCTGGGAATGGTCAAGAAACTATGCAAAAGGCTCAAAAAAGTGTGAATATAATATGTGCAATCAAAAACAAAAAAAATGCACTATGTTACTATTGCCCAGAATATTTCTACTTTCTGCTAAGGTGTAACTCACTAGTTATCTTTTTTTGTTTTTTTGGATAAGTAAGCTTTTATAGAAAGGGGAAAGAATGTACAAAAGGCCTCAAAGTCGGCCAACCTATCTCAGGACAAGCCCTAGGTTAGGAGCAAAGGAATGATACTATCTAAGTCTACCCCTAATCTTCTCTTTTTCCCATTCTGCTTGTCAAAGGAATGGAACCAAGTAGAGATTAAAGAATACAATGAATCCCACTTATCATAGGACATGCCCTGGGTTAGGTTCAAAAGTATCAGAGCATAAAACCCATATGCATAAGCATTATTAATAAGAATTCCATAAACATGGACATTAACAAGGTAGGGCCCGTTAATGACACAAAGACAAAGCACTAGATCAACACTCTAAGACTTCCAATTGTCAAAGTAGCCTTTTCTAGCACAATCACCCGTCGGGATGTCATATAACCCAATCCCCTTACATGACAAAAAACCCATCACATAAATACAAACCATATAATTACCTCTCATGAGATGTTTTAAAAATAGACATAGGGAGACCCCATTTCTCGGCAAGTCTTCTATTGTAGGTATTCTTTGTGATCTTGCTAAGGTTTATAGTCCTCTCCCTCACCATATTCTTGATGGAGTTGTAGAGCGTATGTGCATGCTTGCATTCCCCACCAAAAATCCGGCTATTCCTCTCTCTCCAAATAGAGTAAACGGTGGCTCCCAAACTTAGCTTCCCTATAGAGTACTTTAGCTTTTTCTTCCTCCACCTACTAGTTATGTGCTCAACATAATCGTTCCAAGGCTAGGTGACATACCCAAGAGAAGAGAGCTCAAGGATTCGGTTCCAAATCCTTTGGGTGAAAGGACAAGCAAAAAAGAGATGATCGATCGTTTCTTGCCCATGATTACAAAAACAGCACGCATTGCTAGAGGCTATTCTATACCTCATCAGTTTGTCCCTGGTCTGAAGCCGATCCTTACATGCCATCCACGTGATCATGGAGTGTCGTGGATGCATTAGGCTTCCAAACAACCACGTCCTCGCCTGCCTTTGGATCAAAGTCGATAGAATCCTTCATGTCCATCAAAGCCTAAGAATTAGCCGTTGGCCATCGCCACCTTGTCCCATCCCAAATCTCCCACACCTTAGCAAGATGTTGTAGCCCCGAATCATATACAATGCGGC